GGAGACAGGAGATAGGGGCTGCTGATGGTGGGCAGAGCTGCAGAGGGGAAGAGAAAGAGGGACTCACACGTGCTGCTCCGGCTCCTGACAGAATTCTACTTCCTGGCTTCAATATGACTTTTTTATTTTTATTTTTTTGCGGTACGCGGGCCTCTCACTGCTGTGGCATCTCCCGTTGCGGAGCACAGGCTCCGGACGCGCAGGCCCAGCAGCCATGGCTCACGGGCCCAGCCGCTCCGTGTCATGTGGGATCCGCCCGGACTGGGACACGAACCCGTGTCCCCTGCATCGGCAGGCGGACTCTCAACCACTACGCCACCAGGGAAGCCCTTTTTTTTTTTTTTTTTTTTGAGAAATAAACATCTTGGAGATATGGGGCTATATGTATAGTTGATTCACTTTGTTATACAGCAGAGACTAACACACTACTGTAAAGCAATTATATTCCAATTAAGATGTTAAAAAAAGAAATAAACATCTTTATCTAATTTTATTCAAAATTAAAACCACAAAAATGAAGGGTGACTGTGCAAACAATGAAGGAAATGGAGAAACGGTCAGGTGGGAGAAAAAAGACTGAGTTCAGCAAAACCTGGAAGGCAGGGGCAGAGACAGCTAACTATATACAAGAGAAGTACTGAAGAGAAGTGTAATTGTGCTGTGAAAACAAAAGAGAAAGGAGGACTTCATGCATTTTAGAAATGCAACTCACTTAAAAGTTTGGAACTTTGCATAATATCATGCCTGCTATTCTCAATGGAGCAGCTGACATTTGGAGGCTAAGAAGAAAGAGTTCAAAAAGGAAAATCAAAGTGCCACCTTCCTGTAAACAGTTAAAAAGGGCTATGCTATGCTTGTGGATGAAGTTACTTGGTAGAATGTTTTATTACCTTTCTTCAGCATGAATAGGATAACTGAAAAGTGTGATATTTAAGTTTAATCTAACTCCTTTTTCATCTTTCAGGTATACTAAAATGTTAGCTTTTCTAGGATCATGAATAATCAGAAATGTAGATGATCTTACCCTCCAGAATCATTCTGGATATTGGCTATATCATTAAAAAAGAAAAAGAAAGAAAAGAAAAGCGCCTAAGCTATCATCCCTAACAGATTGCCTTGTTGCTGTTCCTGCCAAATTCTGAGAGAAGAAATATTTCCATTCTCTTCCAATTTTCAACAGAAGTAAATAAGGAAGTAATGTGGCTAACTTCCATTCTTGTGACTCAATATTAAGTTGGCTGAGGAAACAGCTGTTTGCAGAAATAGTTCTGGGATAATTCAAAGGAAAGAAAAACACTGATGCCCAGATGGTATTGGTTTTTGCTCCAAGTATACTGGGATATTAACGGTTCATTCTCCATAGTTAAGTGCGTTCAAGGCTGTATTTACAGCTTATCCACTCTCCTCAGCCTGCACTGTTACACTTGAAAAATGGAGAAGCTCCCTACCCGAGGCACACAAATGGTCAGAGTGGCATCCTGAATTGGCAAAGGGGAGAAAAAGGAAATGAAGAGCAGACTGTTAGCACTCCTCTATCCTTTCAGAGAACAAATGTAAAGCTGTTGTGCTTATACTCGACCACTGCTATAGACAACATAAAAAGGTTAGTAATACGCAAACAGAAATCATCATTTTGAGGGCCATTTTCCAAAAAGTTTCTGAATAGCCCTTATGCTCCCAACAGTATCTTAGAGCCATCACACACCTCATCACTGGCCTTTGGGCACTTGGCTCAAATGTCAGCATATTTTCTGGCACACTGAGGAACACCCTCTGTATTTGCTGAAGCTGTGCTTCAAACCATGGTTATTTGTTATGCCCTTGACTTTGATCATTTTTGCCATAAGCATTTGCTTATGAAGCTACACAAAGACATTGATATGACAAGCTTAGACTTATGATCTCCTTGCCCATTTTTTTCTCTACAGTCTGAACCTCCCCTGCCCCTGCACCCTCCCAGTATCTCAAACTCAGTATAACTAAAAAAGAACTCCTCACTCTCATGCTCCGATCTACCTGTCCAGTATATACATAGTTCGAATGATAGCCACACAATACAATTCTTCCAGTTTTGCAAGATCAAAGTTATAGTATCATCATGGCTATGTGGTCAGGAACATGGACTCTGGCGTTAGAGTGCCTGATGTGGGACTTGCCTGGTGGTGCAGTGGTTAAGAATCCACCTGCCAATGCAGGGGACACTGGTTCGAGCCCTGGTCCGGGAGGATCTCACGTGTCTCAGAGCAACTAAGCCCGTGCACCACAACTACTGAGCCTGCACTCCAGAGCCTGCGCGCCTAGAGCCCATGCTCTGCAACAAGAGAAGCCACCGCAATGAGAAGCCCGCGCACTGCAACGAAGAGTAGCCCCACTCACTGCAACTACAGAAAGCCCACACGCAGCAACGAAGACCCAACACAGCCAAAAATAAATAAATAAAATAAATTTATATAAAAAAATAAAGATGCAGATTTCTTGGGCATCTGTATCTTTGCCGTGCATGTAGTTTTAATGACTTATAAATCAAGCCCATGTATCTTTTGATTTTCAAAACCTTACTGTAATTCAGCGATTCTCAAAGTGTGGTGCAGGGGCCTCTGAGACTTTTTCAAAATCATTTTCGTATTAATACTAGAAAATTATTTGCTCTTTTCTCTCTCATTCTCACACAATATGGTGCAGTTTTCCAGAGACTACATAATGAATGCTATCACAAGAGAGTGAGTGCAGAAGGAGATATGAGAATCTAGTTGTCTTCTATTAAGCCAGATACTAAAAAAAAACTTGTAACAATGTAAAACAATGCCATTCTTTCCAATAATTTTTTTTTGGAAAATATTCTTCATAGAAATGCTATTTATGTTAACATGTAATGAATGTATCATTTAAAATAAATCAACAATTTTTGAAAAGCTGTTTTGATATATAAAATGGCATACTGAGGAACTCTGGGAGAGGGAGGGTGTCAGGGAGTGCTGGGTGAGGGTGGGTATGAGGGAACTCTGGGTGAGGGAAGGGGTGAGGGGGGAAAAATGGCATATTGATAGATATAAGGACACAAACAAAAACTCTCTGACGTTTTCATTAAGTTTTAAAAGTGTCAAGGGATACTAAGACCAAAAAGTTTGAACACTTTCTATTATAATTATTATCAGCAGTATTTTAAGGATAAGACAGTTAAGTGGCTTACCAAGATTCTATTCTTAAACCTCCAATTTTATGCATTTCCATTACAACAGAAAATCAGAGGAAAACACCTATTTTATACTTAAAGTGTTCTTGTTTTTTTTGGGAATAGGCATTTTCAACATGCTCCCAGGTGATACTGATGCCCCTAAATTTAGAGAAGCACCATCAAAGCAAAGGAAACCATCTGAAGAGTTTTAGGAAGTGACAATTATGTATAGACATTAAAATGGTCATTCTGAAAGCATTAAATGGAGTTGGAAGACGTTGGTTCTTAAAAGGCCAGGTGCCTTCACCTCTCTGGGACTTAGTTTTTCACATCTCTACAGGGAGGGTGTCTCTAATGCTTTTCTGGCCGTCATTTTGGGTTTCATGCATTCCACTGTCCAAGGGCAACTGAAGAGGTGCATCTTTCTGATGAAGGGTCAGGAGTAACCTAAAGTCATAAATCACAGCATGTCACTCTTGGGCACAGAAACCTTCAGTGCTTTTCCACTGCTTTCCAAATAAAAGTCAAAATCCTTCTCCTGACTCACAGCCCCTACAAGGGTTGGCCAGTTTAAGTCTCTGGTCTCATCTTCCTCTTTTTGCTCCACGCACAGTAGCCTTTTTCCTCTTCCTTGACCTGGCTCGGTTTGTTCCCACAATAAGGCGTTTGCACTTGCTATTCCTTCTGCTTCTAATATTCTACACCAGATCTTCAAAAGGTTTACTCCCTCGCTTCCGTCACTTTATTCTGCTTAACTTTCTTTAAAGCACTCACTACCGTCTTAGATAATCGTGTTTGTTTGTTGACCTGTTTATAGTCGGTTTCCTCCGCTAGGCTGTCAACTACTTGTGAGCAAAGCCACAGTCGCTCGTAAACCAGTATGTCCCAAACGCCCAGAGAAGTGCCTGGCAGGTATGTGGAGCTCCGTAAACATACGACGGCCGAACTCCTGCAGCCCAGGCCAGGCTTACAAAAGGGCAGCGGATACCCCACCCTCCTTCACATCGTACCCCAACCCACCGCTCAAACCCACGCCTCGACACCGCTAGTAACCCGCCCCAGCCCTCGACAACCACCGCGAACTAGCCCTCACTCACCAGACCCTCGCCAAGCTCCTTCCGGCTGGACCGGCTGCTTGACCCGGAAGTTCTCTCAGGTAGGCAAGGCCTTCTCCGTCCTGAAGGAGGACTTCCGGGACAGTAGGGAGTGGCTTCTCTGCGGCTGTGGTGGCGGTGCGGATGGCGGCGGGCTGGGTACGGGGCTTCCTGGGAGGAGGCTGGCCGGGTGCGGGGTCTCGGGGTCGCCGCGGAAGGGGAGGAAGCGGCCTGGGGCTGGGGGGCGGGCGCCTCGTGGTGGACGCTGAGGCTGCGGAAGTGCTCTGGTTATTGAAGCGCTCCGCTTGGGTGAGGAATTCTCGTCGTTGTCAGCGTCGGAGAACTTAGGAGCGCAGGTTTACACCAGAACTCCGGTTTGGCACCTGTTCTTGTAGTTAGGAAGAAGGGAGAGCGGATTTTGTACATCTCGAGACAAATCGTTATATTAGTAAAAATAGTAATGCTCCCTCCAGACAACCACCAGGTACTAACAGCAACTTTTACCCGTGAGGGGTTACGTGCCAGGCTCCGTTCCGAACCCCTCACATCCACCGGGTCATTTCGTCTTTCCAGGAATCCTGGCAAATAGGTAGTACTCTCCCCCTTTTACAGATGAAGAAACGGAGACGCAGATAGCTGAACTGACTTCTCACAGTCACTCAAGTACAGAGTTGGAAGAGTGTCAGCCTAACTACATATTATATATAGTATATAATGTGTATGTTACATGCATATTACCGTGTGTTGTAGCTTGGAGAGAGCATAAGGAGAGCAAAAAGATATTCCATCAATGTTTCAGCTACACGAAACATTGATGGAACTTTGTGCACGAACTGTGTAGCCTTTCCTATTTGGCCTCTGGAGTAAGTAGGGCAGAAATTGTGTCTTAAATTAGTTCTCAGTCTTCAGAGCTTGGCATGCAACAGGTAGTCAAAAAAAATGTTTGCAAGTAAATGAATGAGTGTTTCACAGTTGGTTTTTACGTTTATGGATAGTTGTATCTAGATTGTTTTTTTCTATGTGTTTTGGAAACGTATGTATATCATATACCATATGGTCTAGGATCCAGGATGTTATATAAATCTACCTTTCTAGCCTTACGCCTCCCCATCATTCTCTTTGCCATATTAACTACTCCTGGTATCTGTCTGTATTCCACACTGTCATACCTCAGACCTTTGAGATTTCCCGTGTTGTTTACACACCCTTGAATTCTCTCATTGGCATCTTCATCTGTCAGAATCCTAAGTGCCCTTTAAGGCAGGTATTACAAGTTCAGATGCCTACAGGGGCTAATCAGGTAACATAAACGAGTCAAGAGAATTTGGGTGGAGATTACGGGGAACTAGAGAGCACTACTCTACCCTTTCTAAAAGATGCCCAGCAGATATTTGGCATGAGCTAGTTATTAACAAGTCGAATGTGGGCCCAGTGTCGCCAGATCTTTCAGTTTTACAAGGGAAGTTGGAAATTTCTATTTGTAAACGAACTCTGATTTTTAAATGTTACCAGTTAGTATAGAAAAATGTTTAAGCGCTGTGCAGGCCAAACAAAAAAATCTGTAGGCTGGATTTGGGACTCAAAATCCCAGTTTGTGATCACTATTCTGTGCTTTTTTCAAGTATTTAAAGTTCATGAGTGTTATTTCCTGATCCTAGCATACTTTTCCTTGCTCTCTGTTCTTTTAACATTTTGTGTGTACCTCAGTTATAGTGCTACTTCCAGGTTACCTTAGTTGTTAGTATGTCTCTCTTTTTTAGTATGTTAGAAATGTTTTGATGGCATTGATGGATTGGGTCTAATTTTGTGGTTAGTATATATTGATAAAAACATGTGCTTATACATACCGAGGTGTGTGTGTGTGTGTGTGTGTGTGTGTGTGTGTGTGTGTGTGTCTATGTATGTGTGAGATACGTTTATTTCTCCCCTGGTAATACTTGGTTATCCTGGAAACCAGCATCTCCTCCTTGTAAAAACACCAATAATATCTTGACTTTAATTGTCAAAGAGCTGTACTTCTGGAAGGAATTGAATTTGTTAACATTGCTATTCAAAAGCTGGTCTGATGTAAATCTTATTCTGGTAGCTTAAATTTCATAATCTTCTCTCTGAAAAATTGAGGTAGGAGTGATTAATGAGTAATAAGATTTTTTTAAATGTCAAAAAAGGAAAAGTTGATAAATTGAAATTAAAAACTTTTGCTCTGTGAAAAGCTGTATGAAGAGGATGAAAAGATAAGCTACAAACTGGGATAAAATGTTTACAAACCAAACCACATATCTCACAAAGGACTTGAATCTAGAATATAAAAAGAGCTCTCAAAACTTAACAGTAGGGCTTCCCTGGTGGCATAGTGGTTGAGAGTCCACCTGCCGATGAAGGGGACACGGGTTCGTGCCCCGGTCCGGGAGGATCCCACATGCCGCGGAGTGGCTGGGCTGTGGCCGCTGAGCCTGCGCGTCCGGAGCCTGTGCTCTGCAACGGCAGAGGCCACAACAGTGAGAGGCCCGTGTACCGCAAAAAAAAAAACAAAAAAACAAACAAAAAAAAACAACTTAACAGTAAAGAAAAAAATCCAATTAGAAAATGAGCAAAAGATAAAAATAGCTCTTTCACTGAAGAGGATATACAGATGGCAAATAAACACATGAAAAGATGTTCAATATCATTAGCCATTAGAGAAATGCAGCTTAAAGCTTAAAGCCATATTAAGCTGTCATAGTGCACCTATATCAGAATGGTTCACATAAAAAATAACCCTGCCAAATGCTGGTGAGAATGAAGAGAAACTTGATTACTCATACATTGCTGGTGGGAATGTAAAATGGTACGGCTACTTTGGAAAAGAGTATGGCAGCTTCTTATAAAATTAAGCAAGTACTATCGATTGCACTCTGGTCATTTATTCCAGGGAAATGAAAGCTTATATTCCCATAAAAACCTGTATATAAATGTTCATAGCCATTTTATTTGTAATAGCCCTAAACTGAAACAACTGAGATACATCCATACCAAAGAACACTACTCAGCAATAAAAAGGGAGAAACTAGTGGTACAACAGCTTGGAAGAATCTTGAGGGACTTATGCTGAGTGAAAAAAGTAAATCTCAGTAGGTTACATACTGTGTGATTGCATTTATATAACATCTTGAAATGACAAAATTATAGAGATGGAGAATATCAATGGTAGCTGTGGGTTAGGAGGAGGGTGGGACGTGGCTAAAAATAGATAACAAAAGGGATCCTTGTAATTGAATTATTCTGTATCCTGACTTTGGTAATTGAATTATTCTGTATCCTGACTGTGGTAATCCTATTCTGTATCACATGAATCTGTGCATACGATAAAATTTCATAGAACTAATTACATGCACACAAATGAGTGCATGTAAAACTGGTGAAATCTGAGTAATGTTGGGGGATTGTATCTATCAGTATCCTGGTTGTGATATGCTATAGTTACACAAATTGTTCTCTTGGGGAAAACTAGGTGAAAGGTATATTAGATCTCTCTGTATTATTTCTTACACCTGCATGTGACTCGATAATCTCAAAAAGTTTATTCAAGTAACTTTTACCAAAAACAAGCTTATATAATTAATTTTGGGGGGTTGGGGGGCTTTTATTTTACCAGGCAATGATCTAATCATGTCGGATAAAGATGATATTGAGACTGAAGTGATAACTGAAGCAACCTCCATCCTTGAAGATGAGAACTGTGAGCCAACCAAGAATTTTGAGTCAGTTGACCAAAGTGCCAAGTCAGAGAGTAAATCAGAACCTGTAGCTTCTACTCGGAAAAGACCAGAGTCCAAACCTTCCAGTGACCTTGAGACTTCAGACGTTCTCCCTGTTCAGACATCACAGGCTGCAGGCAAAGTAGAGTATCTATTAAAACATTGAGATTAAAAAGTATTAGGGGGCTTCCCTGGTGGCGCAGTGGTTGAGAGTCCGCCTGCCGATGCAGGGGACACGGGTTCGTGCCCCGGTACGGGAAGATCCCACATGCCGTGGAGCGGCTGGACCCGTGAGCCATGGCCGCTGAGCCTGCGAGTCTGGAGCCTGTGCTCTGCAACGGGAGAGGCCACAACAGTGAGAGGCCCGTGTACCGCAAAAAAAAAAAAAAAAAAGTATTAGGGTTAAAAGGAATATGGAATCAATACCAAATTGGGATTGCACCTATTTCTTTCTTTTTATAACCATAAAACAATTTTCTCAGTTCTATATATGCTTTTATGAGTAGTTGCCTTTGCTATGTGATGCTTACATTGCAGGTAACATACATCTGTCAGTCAAGCAATACACTTCTTGAGCCAACTAGTATGTATCTGTTCACCCATACTTTTGGCGAATAATTAGCTACCTTGTATATACACTCTTATTTTCCTCTAATTTTTCTATTTTTCTTTGCCTTTGTTTTTCTGGCTACTGGCAAAAATAGGAGACTGTTTCCAAAGATGTACCCCAGACCGGATGGGGCTATTGGGGAAGTTGGGGCAAGTCCTTGCTCTCCTCAGCCTCAGCTACAGTAGCCACAGTAGGTAAGGTCATCAGTCATTTTATTAATTTTTGTGTGCATTTTGCTACAAATCTGTGTTCAAAATGACTTTGTTAATTATTCTTCTTCCATGATTACTCAAAGGCTTTATAGTTTGAAGATACGTTAGTAATCATGGGCTGATTTATACTGCCACTAGAATTGGTAACATATTTCATTATAAGGTTAACATTTAGGAATTAATATAAAACTATTCTTTGGTGATAATGAATCAATTTTTTTTTCCTTTGGTAAGGATACACTCCCAAAGATGAGTTATATATGGTCAAAATAACATGTCTTGTGGTTGTAATGAATTTAAAAATCTGTGGGTTTAATTTTCAGCTTGTTTCTTCAGTTTTGGTGACTAGTAGCAAATAAATTCAAATATAAAAATGTTATTTTTTCTCTTTAGGACAAGGTATTTCAAATGTCATTGAGAAGGCAGAGACTTCCCTTGGAATCCCTAGTCCCAGTGAAATTTCATCTGAAGTCCAGTATGCAACAGGTCAGTATATGGAAACATTAAGGCCTAGAATTATAAACTGAAATGGAATAGTTAAGCTCATTGTTTTCAGTAGATGTTTTTTGACTGTCTGATATTCAGGGCATCATGGGGCTGATGAGAAATGGGATTTGGAATCTTTGGCTTTAACCACTCAGTTGTCTCTTTACTTTCCTCATCTATGAAATTGGGTGATATTTTATATTGCAGAGGACTGTTACAAACATTAAATAAGTAAATCTACATGAATGTAGATTGTAAAAATTGCCTAGCTTTGTGCTTGGCATAATTGAGTAAGAGCCCAGTAAGAGTTAGCTGAATTTGAATCTACTGTGGCATGAAAAGATGTTTTAATGTGTTAGTTTTGGTGCTGTTCCATGGTTCATTTTTTTAAGCCTTTTTTCTCTGTGCTTCGGTTTGGATAGTTTTTGTTGTGGCTTCAGGTTTACTGATCTTTTCTTCTGCTGTGTCTAATGCTGTTAAGTCCATTCAGTGACTTTTAAATTTTAGATAATATTTTTCAACTCTAGAAATTCCATTTGTTTCTTTTTTTGTCTTCCATTTCTCACCTCCTTATGTATATATTTTAGTGTCCCTGACTGTCATCTCTGTCATTTGAATCTGTTTCTATTGACCAATTTTTTTTCTTGCTTAGAGATAACATTTTCATTTCATTGATTGGTTGCTGGACATTAGAAATGTTACCTTGCTGGGTGAATTTTGTAGTCCTGTAAAGGGTGTGAGTTTTGTTTTGAAGACAGTTAAGATATTTGTAACTTAGATTGATCTTTTGGTCTCGATTTTAAACTTCTTGAGGGTGATTTCTAGAGTAGCCATTATTGTTAAGTGCTAGTTTAGCTCAACTACTAAGTCTCTGACCCTTCTGAGGTCTCTACCTAATTTCCAGGTGTTTAACTAGGTCTCTGTACTTGATTGGTTGGAAGTCAAATGTCTCTCAGCCTAGCATGGGCTTTGGGCATTGTTTAGTTTACAGCTCCATGGCAGTTCCTTGCCCAGTATCGTGGAGTTTTCCAGTGCAGGAACAGCTTAGTATTCAGCCAAAGACTCAAGGACACTCCTGTGTAGATAGTTAGAACTCTTTACCTCTGTATCTCCCTCCTCTCCAGTACAGGCATACTTTGGAGATATTGTGGATTCAGTTTCAGACCACTGCAATAAAGTGAATATCGCAAAATACGAGTCTCACAAATTCTTTTTTGGGTTTTCCAGTGCATATAAAAATTTATACTATATTGTAAGCTATTAAGTGTACAGTAGCATTATGTCAAAAAGAATAATGTACATACCTTAATTAAAAAATACCTTATTGCTGAAAAATACTAACCATTATCTGACAGCGGAGGGTTGCACAAACCTTTGTTTGTAAAAAAAAAAAAAAAAAAAAAAGCAATATCTGCAGAGCACAATAAAGTGCAATAGAATGAGGTATGCTTGTACTCTGACCTGCAAATTCCAGGTGCTTCAGCTTTCCTAGATTCCAGTCTCTGTCTCTTCTACTTAATAAGACTGCCATGCTCTGCTTGGGTTTCCCCTCCCTGTGCTGTGGTCTGGAAAGCAAGCCAATCATAGAGTTCTTATCATTTGTTTCTCTTCTCTCCTGAACTATAGTACAGTACGGTCTGTAGTCCAATGTCTGGAGATAATTGTTTCTTATATTTTGTCCAGTTTTCTAGATGCTATGGTAGAAGGGCAAGTCTGACACCAGATAATCCATCATAGTCGGAAGCAGAAGTCCTCCCTACAATAGATTATTTGTTGATCTCCTGTAAGAGATTTTAGTGTTAATAAAATAGAACAGATTTTAAACAAATCTTTGTAATGCATGTCTGAATCCTGTGAAGAAGCATAATTTTCCAGGATAAAGTTTAAAGTAGATTGGATTTTTAAAAAGTCACATTCCTTGAGTTATAATTTACATAAAGTTCACTCTTTTTAGGTACAGTCATCCCTTGATATCCATGGGGTGATTGGTTCCTGGAGCCCCCCATGGATACCAAAATCCTCAGATGCTCAAGTTCTTTATATAAAATGAGTATTCACAGGTTCAGCATCCATAGAACAGAGGGCCAACTGTATATGGTTTTACATATTTTAACAAACATACCATCCTGTTTATGCTGTGTAATCACAGTCCATTGTGATTATACAGATATAGAATATTTCTTATATTTGTATAGACAAGACTCGAGAATATTTTCATTCCTCCCCACCCCCCAAAAAAAATCCCCTCATGCCCCTTTGTAGTCACTCCCCTCCACCTATTCTTAGCTCTTGGCAACCACTGATCTGTTTTCTGACCCTGTGGTTTTACCTGTGCAGAAGATCATATGAATGGAATCACACAGTATATAGTCTGTTATATATGTCATAGGTTGTTCAAAAGACTGGATTTTGTTTTTGAAATGAAAATGAAAAACTGCCTTAACTTTTATTTTAAAATAGGCAAATGGTTTAAAATAATAAAGCAAAAAGTACTAAGGCCTTGTGTGTTGGAAATAAGGTCTAATTCTTAAAAATTCATATAGATGCTAATAAAGCAAAACTATTTACGGACTGTCTCTTCATATTTACACATCCCTTCCCCACTGTAGGAGAGACAAATGCCAAAGAGAATGAAAACTCCTCTCCCATGAGTGGGCCATTTGGGGTATTCTCTACCATCTCTACTGCTGTTCAGAGCACAGTGAGTAAAAATTTCAAGGTGGCCTGCTTCCTTCCATGATTATAATGGGTTTTTGTCTCTTTCTTTTCCTTGAAAAGTCATGGGGACTGATTCCTCTTATGGGAGTTCAAATTCCTGAAGATCATTCACTTTGATCTTAGGGTAGAGTGAGAGCTGACTTGAAAACTTAAAAGAAGTAAAAGAGGGAGCAGGAAATGCAGAGTAATAGAGAGGCAATGTACATAATATTTTATGGACTAAGAATTCTTAGTTTGGTGGCCCTAGAAAAACATCTCTGCTTTACAAAAATATTTTTGTCATAATTATATCTTTTAGGCAAAGGGAAAATGAGATGTTTATGATAAATACTTATTGAACTATAGATTAGAAACATTTTTGAAAGGATTAAATAGGAAGCTTAATATCTTTCCTACATGAGGATAGATAGCTAGTACTTTTTTATTTTAACTTTTGTGTGTTTTTTTTTGTGTTTTTTTGGTTTGTTTTTTTGTTTGTTTTGCGGTACGCGGGCCTCTCACCGCCGTGGCCTCTCCTGTTGCGGAGCACAGGCTCCAGACACGCAGACCCAGCGGCCATGGCTCACGGGCCTAGCCGCTCCGCGGCATGTGGGATCCTCCCGGACCGAGGCACGAACCCGCGTCCCCTGCATCGGCTGGCAGACTCCCAACTACTGCACCAGGGAAGCCCCTAATTTTAACTTTTTATTGAAGTATAATCTGTATACAGACAAGTGAAATCATAAGTGTTCAGTTTTAATTTTCACGACGTGAGCACACTCAGACTAAGAAACAGCAGGGTGGTATATCAGATGTCTCCCCTGTGCTGTCTCCCAGTCTTCTGTGCCTCCCTCTCTTGCCATCTAAGATAACCACAATCCAGTCTTCTGCCATCATAGATTAATTTTTCCCTGCTATATGAACAGAATCATACAGAATGTACTCTAGTGTATCTAGTTTCTTTCACTCATTATTATGTTTATATAATTTCTCCACGGTATAGTTTGTGTGGTGTATTCCATTTTCTTTGTTGTATTCCATCAAGTGACTATGTAACATTTACTCATTCCAGGATTGGTAAGTATTGGGGTAGTTTCCAGCTTTTAGGTTTTATAATAGTACTGCTATGAGTGTTCTTGTATGTCTTTTGATGAACCTCTACACATTTTTTTGAGTATTTAACCATGCGTGGAGTTGCTGGGTCATAGGATATTCACATGTTCAGCTATAGTAGATACTGACAAATAATATTCCAAAGTGGGTATACTGCTTTACATTCCCACAAGCACTGTATGATTGTTTTAGTTGCTCCTTGTTCTAGCCAGTGGTTGCTATTGTTAGCCACTATTTTGTGAAATGAAAACATGCAGGTGTCTTTTTTCAGTATTATTGTAATGAGGTTGCATGTGTTTCCTAGGGAAAGAGTGTTATCAGTGGGGGTTTGGATGCCTTAGAATTCATTGGGAAAAAGACAATGGATGTAATAGCAGAAGGGGATCCTGGATTTAAAAGAACCAAGGGTCTGATGAACCGGACTTCCACACTGTCTCAGGTACTGTTTGCATTCCTGTTTGTATTTTGATCTGTATTTTTGCCTTTGGTAATTTGGGACCTTCTTATTATTTCCTTTTGAGGACTTTTCAGTGTTTTTTGTTTTGTTTTGTTTTGTTTTGTTTTTGGTAAGAGGGTGCACAGCTGTAATGCTTAGAAAAATGCCCAGTTCTTTTTTTTTTTCCTCCTCTTTCCTTTCTGCAGGAGCCTGTTGTCAGTGCAATATAAGATGCCAAGCCCTTTCAGGGTTGTTATTAGATTAATGGTAAAACCACTGTCAGAGAAACACCTGGTTCCTGGGGTGTTATTTACCCTGTCTAGGAGCAAATTATGTGATCATATTTTCCCTGCAGCTTCTGAGCCTATCCGATTTGAATCACAATTCCAAGAATGAAAGGGCAGTGTTACCCGTCTCAGTTTGCTTCCCTTGACTTTCAGAACTTACCCTTAAGCTCTTGTTACTTGTTCCAGTGTAATGCCTCGATCTCTTTCAGGTTTTAAGAGAGGCAAAGGAGAAAGAAGAGTTATGGACCGCCAATGAGGTTACCATGGAAACGGATAAGAAAACTCATTATGGGCTACTCTTTGATGAATTTCAAGGCCTTTCACATCTAGAAGCTCTGGAGATGCTCTCCCGAGAAAGTGAAATAAAGGTAATTCCAAACCAAAAATTTCAACTGGAGTAGTCTTTAAGCAGAAGCACACTGTATAGTTTCTTTTCCTTTTGTGCAGTTGGAGGATGAAATGTATGTCAGGTAGAGGCTTGAGACTCTCTGAAAATGCTATACCAAAATAAACAAAAAAACTAATTTTTGAACTAATTGCTAGAAATAGAATGAGTCAAGTGTTGTTTCTCTAAATTTAAACAAAAATGGACAGATTGGGCTTCCCTGGTGGCGCAGTGGTTGGGAGTCTGCCTGCTGATGCAGGGGACACAGGTTCGTGCCCTGGTCTGGGAAGATCCCACATGCCACAGAGCGGCTGGGCCCGTGAGCCATGGCCGCTGAGCCTGCGCGTCGGGAGCCTGTGCTCCGCAACGGGAGAGGCCACAACAGTGAGAGGCCAGCGTACCGCAAAAAAAAAAAAAAAAAAAAAAAGGACAGATTAACAAAGAGGTCTTAATAGCATATCTATTATTTTTCCTTCATCTTGTTCTTTTTTTTCTTTTTATAAGTTTCTTTGGCTTAAGCTGCCAGTTTGGATACAGTTACCTGTTAGCATTTAATTGATTCAAGACTATTCCATTTCCTCCTAATTTCTAAGCTGTTGTTAAGCACTAATAATTTCCAGACATTTCTGGCTTATATTATTTTTGGAAACACAATTCTCTGTACCTTTCTCTAATGACCTGCCTCTTGTATTAAGGTTCTTGAGGAAGAGCTTGTGAACTCATACTTTTAATTTTAATATGATCCATAGCCGCTTCATTTGAGAATGTTCTTCTTTTTCTCTCATACTCCCACTTACTATTTTATATCAATTCAGGTGAAATCTATTCTTAATTCTCTAAGTGGAGAAGAATTGGAGACTCTAAAATTTGAATTGGAGCAACTCAAAGAAGCATTTTCCCTAGCAGAGTTCTGTGAGGAAGAGGAGGAAGAGAAGAAAGGTAACATGGAAATCCAGCATCTGAGTGGGAGGGATGTAGTGTGTTTATATGCAGTGATTGTCCTTGAAATAAATCTCTCCAATTACATTAACTCTTTTTTTAAAATTGAAGTGTAGTTGATTCACAGTATTGTGTTAGTTTCAGGTGTATAGCAAAGTAATTCAATTATATACATATATTTTTCAGATTGTTTTCCATTATAGGTTATTACAAGATATTGAATATAATTCCCTGTGCTATACAGTAAATCCTTGTTGCTTATCTGTTTTATGTATAGTAGTTTGTATCTGTTAATCCCATATTCCTAATTTATCCCCCCTTCCCCTTTCCCCTTTGGTAACCATAAGTTTGTTTTCTGTGTCTGTGAGTCTGTTTCTGTTTTGTACATAGATTCATTTGTACTATTTTTTTTAAGATTCCACATAAAAGTGATATCATACAGTATTTGTGTTTGTCTCTCTGACTTCACTTAATATGATAATCTCTAGGTCCATCCATGTTGGTGCAAATGGCAATATTTCATTCTTTTTATGGCTGAGTAGTAGTCCCTTTTGTGTATATATACCACATCTTCTTAAACCAATTGTCTGGTTATGTAATATCTTGCTAAATGGTATCTTACTCTATGTAAAAGAGTCCTGATATGAAATGGTCTTTGAATATGAGTTTTTAAAGCTGTCTTGAGGTATTGAGAAGGCAATAAGCACGGTGGATAAAAGGATGAGTTTTGGAGTTAGACCTGGGTTCTAAATCAAGACCTGCCATTTATTAAACCATGCAACTTTGTGAAATTACTTAACCCTGAGTGTCTGGTTCTTCAACTGTAAGTAGAGGTAGCTAATTCCTCTCAGTTTGTTATAAGGGCTAAATGAAATATTATGTTTAATGTATGGCTCATAGTAAACACTCAACAAATGGTGGCTATTATTTTCATTATTAGGATGGCATAAGTAAATAAATAAAGATCTGCATTTTCAAAGTCTCACTTAGCAGGAAACCTATAAATTAATTTTGATTTGCTTAAGTTGCTCCATTGTTCTTAACTAAGCCCTGGTGTGACAGTCCCTGGTTATTTATGAACTTAATTAAGGTTATTTGTACATAGTGCCTAACAGGATTTGTTTAATTTAGTCGACATCTGGCTTCACATAGTGATCAGAAATCCTGATCTTTAAATACCATTCAGAGGACTCTAAGGGAATTTCTAAACAGATGGATTTGTGTCTATAATATTTTTATTCCCTGTTTGCCTGAGATCAGGATTCTGCAAAGATAGCACTGGAGTGCTGCATGCCACCCTTCCCAATGGCCCTCCGCAGTGATTTTGGTTGAGAATGGAACACTGACCTTGGTATTTAATTATATCTCAATGAAGTTTTTTTTAAAAAAAGTGGTAGCAGAGGGGAGAGAAAACCACAGAACCTAGTTCTGGTGATGTTGATCATCTTCAGTTTCTATCAGCATCCTTAGCCCTTGTCCCTCTATCTTATATACTCAGTGCCTTCACTTTTTTAGGAGACTTCCGGCTTGAGGTGCCAGCCCCTCTCCTGAGTCCCTCCAAAGCACTAACCCTGTCTCCCTTCCATCCTTACATGCTTTATTCTAATGCAACAACTGCTTTTTATGCTCAAGTCTGTGGGGAGTACACGACAAGGATCTCCATTTTTCCCCCCTGTATTTTATTTTACCTTATTATTTTTTTAATATTAATTTGTTTTATTTTTTAGATTCCACATATAAGTGATAACATAGTTTTTGTCTTTCTGTATCTGACTTATTTCTCTAAGCATAATACCCTCCAGGTCTATACATGTTGCAAATGCAAACATTTTTTGATCAACTCTTAGCAGTAAAAGGTTTTTGAGCACTTAGACCCAATATGTGTATATTTGAATGTGTATAAATTATACACATATACTACCATAGTAATATATTATTTACATTCTAAAGTACATCCTAAAAAAGTACTTCTTGAAGAATGAGATAAATGACTACAAGTAAAAGTTGCATTTTTTTCCTCCTGCACTCTATTTTTTGTGAACCCTTTGAGGTGCTTGCATCCCACTTGGATTCAGATCCATCCCTTGTCTCACATAATTTAGAGCTTAACTGGGAAAGCAAAATGCCTTCCTGAGAGTCAGGTTTTTAGTAGAATATGATTTAGGAGTTGTTTACATGAGTTATATAGGTCACAGTTGTATCATTTAGTGAGATCGGCTTTTCCCAAACTATGTTATACCTGGGATCTCTAAACCCTTTGAATTCTCTGCCTTGAATGCCAAGAGAGGACAGAAGAGCAGATGGAGAGAGAAGAACCAAGACAATTTTTTTCCTAAGGATTCTGGGGAGAAAGCATGTATGAAGCAGTAGTAATTTGCCTTGGTAACCATGAACTGGTGACTAAGAAATACTCACATAGATTGTAAGTGCTAAGAGATTTCTGTGTACAGGATTTCTCTCTGTAGTCTTTGGTGGAGAGAAAACTTGGGCTGGGCTTCAAAGAGGAGATTGGATAGGATTTAGATGAATAGAGAGGAAAAGAGCCATTTCCTGTCATTTGTTTGGATGTGTTGATTGTTTTTGATCTTGACTCACCTGTTTGTTTGCATGTTTCTCAGGTATTAAGTATTCCATGTTCCACATCATCGCTCATCAAGCTTATTCTAAAGCTTCCTTACTATCCTTCCAACATTCTGGAATCCTCTTCCTTTCTTATTACCTACTCTTATTCTTATCTGGATCCTGGAATATTGCCTCAGGCTTCCTGCCTCCCTTCAGGTTTCTCTTTTTATTTCATTCCCACCCAGGAGCTAAAGTGATCTTTCTAAAATTTTAATTGGACTTACCTGTCTCTGTATAAAACCATTCAGCAGCTCCTCATTCTCTTAATAAAAGTTTGAATTCTTCACCATGGTTTATGATGCCCTTTATTACCTGGATCCTGCTTACTTTCCTAGCTTCATTCTACCCCTCTTCTCTTTCTTCCATTAGGACAATCCCAACCATGTTAAACTTCTTGCCACGCTTTCTTTCACCTCTGGATCTTTGTACTTGTTTTCTCTGCCTGAAGCTCTTCCATTCTCCTGGCTAGCTTGTACTTGTTTTTTATGTCCCAGCTTAAATTCCATTTCTTTGGAAGCACATGCCTCTTACCCACTTAGTACTCTGCTTTCATCACTTTTCCATTCATACTTCTAGGATGTAATCCAAAGGGCATAGGCTGTGGACTGGGGGTGGGAAGCCCAAGGTTTGACTCCTTATTTGTTATGAGATTTGGGGATATAAATTAACCTCTTCAAGCCCTAGTTTCTTCATCTCTAAATGGGATAATGATGCTTTTTTTTTTTTTTTTTTTTTTTTTTTTTGCCGCGGGCCTCTCACTGTTGTGGCCTCTCCCGTTGCGGAGCACAGGCCTCGGACATGCAGGCCCAGCGGCCATGGCTCATTTTTTTTTTTTTTTTTTTTTTTGTTTTTGTGGTACGTGGGCCTCTCACTGTTGCGACCTCTCGCTGTGGAGCACAGGCTCCGGACGCGCAGGCCCAGCGGCCACGGCCCACAGGCCCAGCCGCTCCGCGGCATGTGGGATCCTCCCAGACCGGGGCACGAACCCGCGTCCCCTGCATCGGCAGGCGGACTCTCAACCACTGCGCCACCAGGGAAACCCAATGATGCATTTTTTTTTTAGAAGCCTATTGGAAGAATTCATCAGTAAAATATACATAAAAGGATTCTGTAAGCACTAAAGCACCTTGCTCATATAATTTGCTTCTGCTGTGTTTACTGCTACAGCTGCTACTATCATTCCTCTTCTCTCCCCCTGCAATGATCCTCACCAGTCTTTCTGCAGTGTTTTATGTGGGACTTGTTTTTCTAGGGGATGAAGACTTTACCAAAGAGATAACAGAGCTATTTTCCCAGCTGCATGTCTCCTCCAAACCAGAGAAACTTACTAGGGTAAGTTTTCCTTCTTGCTGATTTTCAATTTTTTACATATATATTTAGTGGATAAAGAATGTAAGGTTGTAAATTCCTGGCAAGGATGTCACCAAAACCGAGGGTATGTTCTGAGTTCCATACCCCCTGTCTCCCTCTTGGTCTCGCAGGTTAGTGTGCTAAAGTCACACTGCACCCCCTTACCCCCAGCCCCCCAACACATGTGCCATCCTCAACCTGTTTCCATTTGGAATGCTTTGCTTGTCTGAAAGCTTAAATTAGGCCATAGCATTGGTCAGTTAAAGTTGGCAGCACTCTTCAGCCATCATGATACCAATGGGCTAGTTCTCTATTGAGGGCTCACTGTTCTCAGGGCTCTGAGTGATTCTGAGATGGTGGGATGTGGCCCCTGCCTTTAGGTAGCTGGAGTTTGCCATTTCCCAGAGCCCAGTAACTCAGATAATGACCACTTAGCTTGTGGAAATGAGAGAATGCATGGCCTGAGCCTTGGTCTTTGGTAGTGATGCCTGAGCTGTCTTCAGTCAAAGCTCAGAGTGGGTCGGGAGATACTGTTTTCAGGGTAGTACCCGCCTAGCATATACACCAGTGCCAGCTCCTGGGACAGTATTCTCTGGGTCTTGGGCTGCTTGCTGCCTCTTCACCCTCTTCTCGAGAAATATCTTAGGATCGGTTAGCAGCAGCACACATTGCTTCCTGGCCAGGGAGAGCTGATAGCCATTGTATAGTCATCAGAGTCACCTCTTGCGTACCCCACAGTAAGGAATAGGATGCTTCAGGGAAGTTACCCTGCTCTCCCATGCCCACTAAAAACACTGCATTCTCCAAGAAAGCTTTTCAGAACCTTGCCTCAGCACTTCCTCTCCCTCATCTTGTCTGTAGCACCTTATGGCACTTTCTAGCTTGTGTTATAGTGTTTTTTGTTTTGGAAGTAATAGCAAACTTAGAAAAAAGTTGCAAGAAAAGTACAAACAACATTCATATAGCTTTTATGCAGACACACCTATTAACATTTCACTGCATTTGCTTCATCATTTGTGCTTGCAAATGTGTTCTCTTTCCCCCTTCCTATCCCTTCCTCTCCACCTCCCCCATAGACACACACACACAAGTTATTACTATTATTGGGACTTTTTTTTTTTTTTTTTTTTTTTAAGACACTGTGATGAAGAGGAAGGAAAGAAACATGGAAAGATGCCAATGAAACTAATAAAATAGACTCCTAGTTTTTTTTTTTTTTTTTTTTTGGCCATACCGCGTGGCATGCGGGATCTTTAGTTCCCCAACCAGGGATAGAATCCATGCCCTCCCGCACTGGAAGTGTGGTGTCTTAACCACTGGACCACCAGGGAAGTCCCTGGGACTATTTTTTGAGAGTAAAATGTAAGCATTATAGCCCTGTACTCCTAAATATTTCAATATATATCTCCTAAGAATATGGATATTCCCTTCTATAACCACACGAATTATCAACTGCAATAAATTTAACATTGATACCATACTTTATTTAATCTGTTGTCCACATTCCAGTTTTGTCAGTTGACCTGATAATGTCCTTCATATCCAATTTTTTCCTCTAATGTTGGAGCCAGTACATGATTGCGAATTGTATTTAGTTGTCACGTACTTTGTCTCTTTTAATCTATATTTGCTTTTTGTTTTTTTTGTTTGTTTTAGTCTCTTTTAATCTGGAAGAGTTCCTTAGCTTTTCTTTGTCTTTTATGATTTTGACATTTTTGAGAAATACAAGCCCCTTCCCCCTTTATAAAGGTAGAGTATTCCTCATTTGAGTGTTGTCCGGTGTTTTCTCATGATTAAAATCAGGTTATGCATTCTTGTAAGTGATGTTGTATCCTGCACAGGGTACCATATCTAGAGGCACATGATGTCCATTTGTCCGTTATTGGTGATGTGTTGTCTGATTTCTCACTGTATAGTTATGATTTTGTTCCTTTGTTACTAATTAGCTTTCTGTGGGGAGACATTTTAAGACCATACAAATATCCTGCTCCTCATAATTTAGCATCCTAGATTTAGAAACTATTCATGATTTTTGCTGCACCAGTCTTTACTGTGATGGTTGCTGAATGATGATTTGTTTCAATCCCAGTACATGCTCCACATTTACCAGTGAGCTCTCGGC